TTATATTTTAAAAACAGTCTGTGGACGTGTTTCATAGTGTTGAGCAACACGACGACTTCTATTGAAAGTATGACCAGCTGTGTGTCGTGAATTATATCAATAATAACTGTTACTGAACAGTATATCTTCTTTGATTGGCATTTAGTAATTAAACATATTAACACAGGGTAGAATTTTAGAGTTTCATTTGTATAGGTTTAGTTGTAATGGCCCCCTAATCAAAGGTGTTAAGTTTTAATTGTATTTGATTGTTATTTTTGTTGCATATTCTGTATATATTTGCCTACTATTCACATACCTGTATCATTGGCTTGATAAAGATGAGAGTATACTCGTCAAAACATCGTTTAGTATTAAACTCAGTAATTGTGTATCCATAAAATTGTACCTTGTGTTATCTTGATAGTAGTAAGAAGGGGCGTATTAAAAGGCACACCGACATGGCTACAGCCAGGGGCACCACTATTAAAGGGGCACCCACGCCAGGTCTAAAAGAGGGAGGGGGTGGGGGGATGGTCTAGTGGTCTAGAGTGTCGCGCTTCGAGCTCTACCTGGTCGGTTACCTCTAGCTTGCGGTTGTGGTTACGATCGCTGGCCTTGTTTGAGCGTATGTGGCTTGGAGATAGGGACCCCTTCTCAACCTCGTGGGTTTACTCCGGGTACTCCGGTTTCCTCCCACAGGAAAGACCCCTGCGCGTGCGCTAAGATAATGAAAATAAAAACGACAACAGAACAACAACAGGTCTAAAAAAAATCTTTTGTACCTTAAATAATATGTTATGGTAATGTTTAACCTATCTTGGTTAACATTATATTTAGGTAACAGTAACACAGTGGACATTGGACGTTTACAGACTTTGATCTTGTATCTACTCCATGAGAGCTTAATCCGGCTCTATAGTGGTAAAGTGTCATGGACAAGACGTAACATGTATAAATATGATGAAAAAGTATTCAGAAAAGTTGTTTTTAAGTAGTTCTTTACTTAGCCTAATGATGGCCCAATGGACAAATATTTCATCGGCGATTGATAGCTTGGTGTCAGCTTTGACGTGTCGCGGTCACGTGTTACATGATGTAATATCGTTAGATAAAACAAATAAAAAAATATAAAATCAATTTCGAGTAATTATAGAAGTTAATGGATGTTTGTTGGGGGATTTCTATAAAATATTGTAAATGTATTCACTTTATTAGTTGTTGTATTATTTTTTGTTATAGGGTTATTTTATTTTGTTATCAGTGGATTAATTTTAATGCTTATGTCATTGTCGTATCACGTGGGTAAATGTCCTATTTATAGATCATGGGTTAATTAGTTATGTAGGAAAATAACACTTTTGTAATCGCAACGTAATAAACGCCTGCTTTTATTATACTGGTAAAGGTCTAAAAATAAACGGACATGCGTTTCGTATAATCTTTACTCGTTGGCTTTTGGTTTCACCTGTTTTGAATTAAAGACTTCGAACGTGATGTTAGCGCTATATAATTACTTGCAAACTACATATTGTGAAAGTTTCGCTTCTGATAGGAATATCAGCCCACAGAAAGTTCATTTCCGTGGGGTATTTGCAAAATTATGACGAATTAAAAATTCCATCTCAGCTAGATAAATTTTTTTGTAAAACAACCTTTTTTATGAGAAAAGTTTCATAATTGTGCTTTTTCCTTTATCGTCAGATGGTGCGACAGGATGGGCACTCAAAGCCCGAGATAATGATATAAACATATGTGATATCACAATTAATGCATTGCATCAATAAAATTGAATCACAATGTCATCGTATTAATTCATAATAAAAATTGACGTCAAGCAGGATGTTGGATTTCTCTTTTTAAAAAGATCAATGTGTATGTAATATACGCCAAAATGACGATAGAGTCCAATGTATTTCTCAAAAAACTTCAAGCCGAGTGGGGGGGGGGGGATACATTTTCTCAGGAACCTGGCAAACCTTCTCCTGCAAAAATTCCTGGATCCGCCCCAGATATGCTACTATAATTAAAGACTAAGTGTGTAAAAACGCCGTTGCCGTGTTTATTTGTAAAATTAATTAAAATAGCGACGTTTAAGCCGTGATAAATTTGATATACTCCTAAAAATGCATATCACGCATAGTTATTTTAAGGAAGCGAAACTAGGGGTATTTAGCAAAATTTCCCATTTATTTATTTATTCAGTGGATCCGTGTTACGTGTTTCGATTCTACGCAGGGTAAACATATATCACAGTTGATCGTGTCTTTATAGTGTTCTATTCATATATTTGTACTTTATCTACTTTATATGTATATATATTGATTATACTTTTATTCACGCTAGGGTTGAAATGACAAAACGTGACACAACTTTATTTTTGTATGAGGTTTTTTTGTGAAGTAATATTTAATGGTTCTTGTATTTAGTCTATCAAGCGTGTGATTTTACTTGAATAAGTAAATAATATTATGATGTTGACACTGTAAAACCAAACATGCGTCTCGTTGATGTTGTTTTTCAGGATTGAAATAGATACATGTACACTATTCAGTCTTGTGGGAGTGCTTCATTCAAACTATTGAAAGGTGTTCCACGTGGATCCGTCTTAGACCCACCTAACTTTAAGATTGATATGAATGATCTGTATGATTTCACAAATAAAGCACATAATATTACTTTTGCAGACCATATATATTAAGACATGATTTGCCACTTCCACCCACGTCGTCCGTCAAGAATCATATCGGCATGTGGAGGCCAATGACGCTTTAATTTAGGAAGCGGAAGCGGTCTAGTTTCGCCGTTTTAGAACTTACACTATATTGTCCTAGGTAACTGATCCATTTCGTCCAATGCCGTGTTAAAATGAACACACGGTTTGTTACAGTGTATATTTATACTAGTTACGGTATTTCAGCTTTTGTGTTAAAAAATTGTGTAAGGTATTCTTCAATAGAGGGCAAAGAACGTACTTTTGTTATTCAATTCAATTCAGCCCATTTTTTTTCTTAACGTATGACGAAGTTATTCAACCCACTATTATACAGTACACATTGAACTTTACAATATATTTGTAATAGTTCACACGCTAAAGTACTTTTCATTTTTCATTTTGAGTGATTCAAGTAAGTTTGAAATGTTCTTTTTTTTATATAACATTTACAGTATATGTCAATATATAACATCAGCTGGGGTAGTATCAGAGATTGTTTTCAGGTGAACAAGGAAAACTGTATAGTCGTTCGGATAGGGCGAAAACCCGAGGTCTCGTGTAAACATCAGCTGGAGTAGTATCAGAGATTGTTTTCAGGTGAACGACAAGATCCTATTCTTGTATTTAAGCCGAACAATATACTGTTAAGCAACTCCCTGACAAGGACGACTGTCTAGTCATTCGGATGGGACGAAAACCCGAGGTCCCGTGTACACATTGGCGTGCACGTAAAGGATCCCTTGACAGTTGGAATTCGATATAAGAGTAGGTCGTAGTGCCGCTGTCCGGGCAAAATTTCCCCCATAGCCCACTGTATGGCGTATGCCCGTCTTATTTGGTCCAGTTGTGACATTTTATGTTTTACCAGCACATTGACCACTGGGAAGTAAAATAGTTATAGTAGAAAAAAAAATAATCTCTACCATCGTCGCATTACGTCCACTCGACACAAACTAGGTCATTTGGGACTAATATATGGTTTCATTTTATTTCAATAATTCGCTTGCGCGTAGGTGTCTTTAGCAGTGGGAGGAAACCGGAGTACCCGGAGAAAACCCACGAGGATGGACAGACGACCCTACTCCTTGTTACGTACAACCGGGGATTCGAAACCACGCCAGTTGACTCAATGACAAGCGCGGACATGCTAACCATTCGGCCATCCAACCCTAGATTGAGAGAAAGGGGTGTTACATAATACCCCCGTCAAATAAATACGTCATTAGATTAGACCGTGGTTATCTATCAAACCAATTAATAATCTAAACATGTGATCTTGTGATACGGTGGGAAAAAGTCTAGCCGCCATCTTATCTAAAGTCTGACGTACACATGTACAGGATTACGGTCAGGTAGATCAACGAACGAAATGTTCAACTCTTGTTTTAATTGACGTTTTGAAAATGTCCTTTAATTTCAGCTTAATTGTTTAGGGTTTACTTTAATGACAAGGTCACCTGTTCTCCGGGTCCTCCGGCTTCCTCCCACTGCTAAAGACCCCTTCGCGCAAGCGAATTATTGAAATAAAATTGACCTAGTTTGTGTCGAGTGGACGTTAACCCTCGTCCCTCCCTCTCTCTCTCTCTCTCTATCTCGCACTCTCCCTCTCTCTAAATTGGGTCTAAATCACTCCTATTACACCCAAATGTAATAAGAAATTATAAATATTAATAATTAATAATATGAACTCGGCGAATATTGATTTTGCTTTGCCACACTTAGCCTGAAACGGTTTACGTATCTCTCCCTCTGTATTAAAGATATCAGAACTTTTATTTCAAACAGATATACATTTAATAGTTCATTTGTCGGCTTGGGTAATTGTATTGTCAGTTATATAAACTTCTCAAAGAAATAGGATGTGGTATCAGACGTTCTAGAAAAAGCCAGCATACATTGTCTCGTGTATTACATGTGTCATTTAAACGATGTGGTGTTGACAGGGTAGACGGATTGATAATTTACCGATAGTTTCTTAGTTCAACGTCTTGCTTTATTGGGATCAAGTCCGCTGCGGTCCCATCTCATCGTCCTGTAAAGGAGCAACTTTGTTAGTCTTAAGCTTAAAGTGTGGACAACATTATCGCCGATCCATAATTTAGTCAGTTTCTTAGTTCAACGTCTTGTTTTATTGGGATCAAGTCCGCTGCGGCCCCATCTCACCGTCCTGTAAAGGAGCAACTTTCTTAGTCTCAAACTTAAAAGTGTGGACAACATTATCGCCCATCCATAATTTAGAAATTTTTCTATTTTGAATTTTAAAAGTTATCTCATTGTTCAGATGTGTTATTTCTTATCTTTTCAGAAACGTGATAAACCAATGATGGTGATAGGAATGGAAGCTTAATCTACAAGAAAAACTAAAATGGACGAACGGGACGAGTCAGACATTCCCGAAAGTAATCCCAGAAGAAACGGACATAGCGTCCTGCTCAATGGTGTACAGAAAACAAACGGCCATTCCCATAGAGATCGCGATTTAGAGGAAAACGGAATGGGTGCGTCCGATGATAACATGAGCCAAGACGGACCTTTAGACTTTTCGGTAAAACGCATCGGTAAACGTCGTCATTCGGAAAGTGATGACTCAAGATCCTCGTGCACAAGCTCAAATGTTCCTCATATAAAAGCCGAATCCCCTGACAGTGATCGTCATTCAAATGCCCCTTCACCTGGAGAAATTACCCATGATTCAAAACACGATTTAAGCCGATCATCTGCTGCTATGGCTGCCATGGGACTATTTCCAGGTATGATGGGTAATGGCGGAGTGTTCAACAATATACCTACCAGCATGGCAGCCATGATGGATCCAAAACTAATTCACAATAGTCAGAAAAGTTCCCGTCCTTTCAAAGCTTATCCTAAAGAAGCGCTTTCGATGCCCGTGGGGTATTTCGGTATGCCCGGGTACATGCCCTTTCCAGGTATGGATACAAGTGTTCTTCAGGGTCTTGGGGTAAGTTCGGAAGAACTAATGTCCATCTATAAACAGCAACTTCTAGAACGAGATAAACATGGCAACAAGCGTTCTGGCCATAGCAACGGTAACAGCAGCAGTGGTAGTAGTACAAATGGCGACACCACTCCTCTACCCTCCACACCAAATAACCCTCAAACATCTCCATCATCAAATATATCATTACCTCCTCAATTAGCAGCAGCACGTGCTACCATGGTTAGCAGTACAAGTGGTTCCCCAGGATCCAACAATAGTCGTAGACGTCCACGTATTCTCCCAGACGAACAGAAGGACGAGGCGTACTGGGAACGGAGGCGCAAAAACAACGATGCTGCCAAGCGATCAAGAGACGCTCGACGTGCTAAAGAAGACGAGATCGCTATTCGGGCGGCTTTATTAGAACAGGAAAATCTGAAACTACGGGTCGAGGTAGCTGCGCTAAAAAGTGAAACAGCAAGACTCCGATGTATGCTGTATAACAATTGAAATATTTAAAAGTGTCTGGATGTCAGTGTGTAGTTTTGTGTGTCCAGTCATAAAGTGTACGAACTATGAGATTTGGATCATCTGTTTTCGAGTATGAATTATGGATAGCCGACTAGGAAACCGTGTCTACCTCTTACTTGTATTTTGAAGTTTCAAAGATATTGTTCATTGTATGATTTTTCAATTGCACTGGACATTATGAAATGTTTGGACTACTTGTGTATGTTGTGTACGTGTTACGTTTTCTTTTTATGCAAACAAAAACCAACTACGTCATCGAGTCCATACTTATGACGTCATAACTGGTACCTCAATTGATTCTCCCCCCTCTAGCAAATTCTTCTAAGTTCTATTTTTAGATACTATGCATCTTCTGTGCTACACTTGACATACCATTTACAGGTGCCATAAATCCCGGCCTTGGACAGTGCTAATCGCCAGTGCTCTAAACAGAAGACCCCGATTAATGGGAATATTGAATAAGGCTACTTTCTGGTTTCTTTAGTTGTAGCAATCAAAAGTACGAACCAAACCTAGAAGTTATTTTTTTAAAAACATGCATGAAAAGTGAAGAAACGAAATTTACATGTAATATAGATTGTTGAATGCTATTATATGTTGTATCATTAGTTAATGGAAATCATTTAATTCGTTTCATATAAACAAAACACTTCTCAGGGATATAAATGACCATTTTGCATGTGTGTGGATGAATCACGTGATTACCATATATGGTTATATATTTCCATACAGTTATTTCGAATTTGTAAACCAAGGCAGCGTAATATTTGACATGTCTATAGTTTTTCTATTTATATATATATATATATATACACGAGGGTAACGAGTCGTGCTGTTTAAAAACTTTGTATAATATATTTTATGGGTGATATCCTTTATTCAGCACGTGCTTGTATTCTCTCTAATTCCTTACATGACGTCATTGATTGGTCCATTTTGAAAATCTATTTAAAAACCATAATGATTTTAATATTATATTATAACATATATTTATCTTTACACGCATCTTTCACTCTAACTCAAGGAATATACCATTTCATATGTTTAAAGAAAGTTTTGAATTTCAGTCGAAACGTAAAGTTGTTAATATGTTGGGAGAATTATATTATTAAAGATATTATATATTATATTTGTTATTTCGACTGAAATTTGAAATTCTCTATTATTTTGTACATATTATAATAATTGTTTTGGTTAATCTATCTGTTTTTTTGGTGCACAATTAAATGTTGAGTGCTATTTTATTTTCATCATTGTGTTTTGAGAAATCAACAATAGAATACGCCCTGTTTTTGTTTTCCTGGAAAAACGTTTTGTAGGATTGAAAATTGTTTTGTTTTAATCCTTGGGTGTTATTGGTCGATTGAGCACACTAAAAACACAACACAATTCATTTAGAAAACAATCACTGGTTTATACACATAGCACGGCATTTTTTTCCACGACTGTTCTCTTTGTTTTTCAAGCACAAATGGAAACGATAAGAGAACACGTACTGAAACGTCGTGATATATGTTTGCAAACCAGTGAATATTTTTCTTTATTAATTTGGTATGTGTTTTTTATTCAAAAATAACGTAATTACGTAGCGTCAGTATTTCTATAACAGATGCTGGCGTTACAATCTGTTTCATAAAGGTATTGTGAAAAGTCTTCTTATAGCTCGGTAAAAGATGACGGCTTGTAACATATGACGTTACATCACAGGGCGACAATGATTGGCTTAATGTCACGTGTATTGTTTACATAAGATGTTACTGGTCCGGGCAGGATGACACCCTTTACTCGTTTTACATACCAATTTATATTATTTTTCTAATACTTAAAAAAATGTTTTAGAATTTAAAATTTGTCGAAGGATAGAAGTTAATATTTGGAGCTCATTAAGCCGCATCGATGTCATCTTTATCAGTAATTGTAGCGGCCTAGCGAATATTCAATGCTGATCAGTGTGCTGACGTTATTTTGACGTTTAACCAAAACAGGTCGTATTTTAATGTTTTTAGTTCGTTTTAATCACGTGGTCGATACGGGTTATAAATTTGATGTGTTGAAACGAATGCTCAATCATGTTCATTTGTGTTTTGTCTGTCTGATATTATTTTAACCAAATATACAAGCTTGGGTTTCCATGGAAACAAATTCAGATAATCCCCACCTTTAATACACATAACCCATTACAAATGACGTCAGCGGGGAAATAATGGCATTCCCATTCAAACACCCTGACCATTTATCATTTCGTTTCAAACAGTTTTAAAAGATCCGGGGGGCCACAGATGTGTTGTAATGACGTGTCTAATAAAGTTTACGTGTATCTAAGGGGCGTGGTTTTGTCGAATATTGTTCCGTGTTTAATTTAAAGCTCGTATTGTATCTGTTTTGGTTTTGTTAGTGTTTATGTGTTTAATCAGTAATTCACTGATATATGGTTCAATCTCAGGGTTTTTGTAACATTTCTTCTAGTTTAGTTCTATAGTTGTTTAGTAATATAGTGGCCGGTATACGTTGGCGCTGTTTGAATGAATTGAAATCGGGTTTGCGCAAAAATTGTACCATACACACTGTACATAAATATATAAGCCAGATTTTATAAGACGTTAAACCAGGGCCTAGTTGTGATTGTATTTTATTAAAGGGGCGACAGTGTCGTTCTTTCAGACACGTAAACATCGATAATTACGTCATTATTGTTAGAACGTAAAAAGGTGATTTAACGATAGAACGTAAAAAGGTGATTTAACGTTAGAACGTAATTTAACGATAGAACGTCGATGTGAAAAAAAAAAAACAACCAACAAAAAAATTTAACGATAGAACGTAAAAAGGTGTTTTAACGTTAGAACGTAATTTAACGATAGAACGTCGATGTGAAAAAAAATCAACCAACAAAAAAAACCGTGATTTAAGGATAGAACGTCGATGTAAAAAAACAAAGTGATTTAACGATATAACGTAAAAGGGTGTTTTAACGTTAGAACATAAAATACGTAATTTAATGATAAAACGTCTAGGTAAAAAAATCGACCAACAAATTTTAAAAAAAAAACAAATAAAGGGAATCTAAAAGAAAGTGGATGATATTAGTTTAAAATAAATCTATAATCCATTATGATAATATTTGATTTACGTCTCTTTCTTATCTTGATTCATTGTTGGTTATTGTTGAAAGACCCAAGTTGATTAAATCGGGCGAATTGAAGCCAGTGTCAACATGCTCACATCATTTAAAAGCTCTTATTTATTGAGATATGTTCGTCAAACCTGTGGTTTTATTGTTCGTAAACTTTTCAACTTACACTGGTCACTTCATTGCGTCTATATTCTCTGTGATTCATGTACGTACAGTGTATAAACATAGTTTAACGATACGCACATAACACAGCCACGAGTATTGACCGCTACATAACCCCGTGCACATTCTATATCCCATGAACTATGACCTCTTGTCATTTAAAAAAAAAAGCATTAAGTGCCCTTAAAGCATGAGGTCGGCGAATTAACCCTTTTATATCCTTTGTCGCGTAACCTCCTCGTGACCTGCTCGAGGAAACATGGCTACCTTATTATGGTTATAATTAAATACAGTTGGCTCACAAAATTTCATTCAGACGGAAAAAAATTGGAAAAGAGAGAAAAAAAAACAATCGAGCGTAATTAAAGCCCGCATATCGTTTCTTTGTTTGATCGGAGTCCAGATTTCATACGTATCTGATTCCATGAGATAAAGAAGTGAAAAATCCCTTGTATCGCGTCGGTTCAACAGACGAAAAGAAATCCAGAATATACGATTATATATTACCATTTGCTATCATTATTAGTTATGTATTATATTCAATATTTTTAGATTTTTTTCTCTCTCTGTTTGATTTTGTATATTTTAATTATTTCTACATATATACATATATTATATATATCATTCTTCAGTTTTCTCTATTGTTCTTGTACTTCTTCATGTATTGCCAGAATGATATGCAACGTTTGGGTGCGTTCGATTCTCGGATCTGTGATAAAAATGTACCCATATTTGTGTGTTTGAAAGTGTGTTAGGATTCGAGTCGAACTGGGGAACGTTAACTTCGATCTTACATGGGTTGACGGCGGCCATATTTGAATAACCATGATTTTGTTATTAGCGGCCTCCTTTATCTGGGTTACCTTAAACACTATTCGGCACGACTCGATTAAATTTCCGGAAACTCACCCGGACTTCGTAACGAGTTGTACAAGGATCGCTCGTATATGTGAATCCACGATTAGCGCAGAAGTTGTCATTGCAGATTAATTGCATTTTGCCCAACAGAATGTAAGCATCGTGTTATGGAAGCCCCGAAGTTGTTGCAAGTTTGTCGAAAGTCTTGTGATATTTCTAAATGCACAAATTGTCCATATTGAATCGAACGCCCCAATGACGGTATAATTGGGTGTACCGAATGCTTTCTGTTTGTTATGCTACTTATATTATGACTGTATATATTTATATCTTTCAATTCTTTTTGTGATTTTAAAAACGGGTCAAAGGTCGTTCCCATGGAAATTTTTAAATTCGAAATAAAGTTGTCTGTGAATTAGATAACGTGTATGGAGCGGAATTCGCTGCACAATTCTAACCCGTCAAATAGTCATGCTTGTTTTAACGTGCATTTATTATGCATTACTAGGTTAATTGTAGAAATTGCGTCGTGAAATCCGCTCTATCCTTACCTTACATGACATTTCTGATAACTGTAGGAAGGAAGCACGCGACGAGTATTCGACTACCGGAAGTGACTTTAATTTGAATTAAATTCTTGACGTGGGAACGAACCTAGTTCAAACATGTTATCATTTTGTTAAATCGGTTCATTTTAGAACTTGTTCGAAACCGTTCAGGCATATCTACCCTCCATGAGCTTAAAAGAGCATTTATACCTTGGTTACTATGACGAACTAGGACGATATATTGGCATTTTCGTGAAAACATTTAAGTTATTGAAACATCCATGAAATATCACTTATCGTAATTAGGGATCATTCCAAAATGATTTTACATTTCGAGGAAAAGACCACCAATAGATACATGTTCCATCTTAATGATTTTTACTGTATTGTAACGGTGAGTGCTTTCAATCTGTTTAAAACTCAGATCCTTTTCGGTTCGTTTCGTTTTTTATTGTTCAAATTTTCGTTTTACTTGTCATTACTACACGTAGGCCATCGAATGTATATAAAAAACGAAACGAAAGATAAATCTGTACTTTAATCAGATTGTGAGTGCTGTACGCTTCTATAATAATTTAAAACCATTTAACCGGAAGTAACTTCACTTGTACTTAACCCGAGTTTTCTCTGAATGCTATTGACCGAATTTGAAATATTAAAATTATTACCAGTGATAATCTAATTTTTAGACGTTTTTGTATCAATTATAAGTTTCCTTACTGGACAAACGTGGCTATAGAATAGATATCAAGAAACAGATTACTTTTACCATTTGTCAAAGCTAACTCTAATTAGTTTTCAGACATAAAAACCAAACGTCCATCATTTTGGTATCCTGGCAACGCCAGCTGACCTATCATTTACAGATGAAGGCGTTATCTTGAAGCCACGTGTAATCAATAGTTGCAACTTGTCTTATAGTTCCGACTGGAAAACACGAGCTATTGTTTTATCGTACTATATTACTTATTGCTAAATTGAATCGTGTGGGTTGCACGAGATTCAGGATATCGACACGAAACCAATACTAATGGTTCAAATTTTAAATTTGAATTTAAAAATTCGTAAAAAAAAATTACCAGAGGGCGTGAATAATTACGAAAAAGTAACGCCGACAGTTTTGTCATTTTTGAAAGGCTATACGTGTGTGAAGTTAAGTAATAAATTAAAACCGTTCTTTGTAATATCCTGATTGCCGTGCATTGCCATTGTCAAAAGTCTCTCCTAAAAGAAGAAAATATTCGAGCAAACCACAACCTTTCTGTTGACTTTGCCGACAAATTTATGACCTATACAACCAGGAAACATCGTGTAGAAAATTTAATAAGGTGTGCTTTTAGGACAGCCGTGGATTTATTTGATTTATTTACGTCATATTTATTCCTTCTAAATTTTAATGTTTAATAACCATTTATGACAAATGTGATTCTATTGTTTTCACTATAGTTGTATTGTCTCTTTAAATAAAACCGAGCCCTTATTCATGAAACTTAAACTAAAATATTTTAAGAATTCTTGCTTTTCATTGGCTAAGTGCTATAATTATAGCTACAACGTTAACCCTCAACCAATGAAATGGCTACTTCCTTAACATATTTTAGTTTAAGATTTCGTGACGTAAGTCCCAGTTTTATCATTTTAACATGTGTACAACGATACTTTATCATAATCTATGTTAAACCAACTATAAATTATATTTATAAGACATTTCATCAAGTAATTTATTCCACATACTATAATATTTACTTACATTCGAATTTAATTATAACCTACGTCATCAATTCCGGATATTCAAAATAGTATTACGTCACATCACCTAATATCATTTATGCAATAATTGCTTGCCTAATGATCACCGATTGTTTGAAAGCTAGTTGGTTATAAATGTCATAAAATGACGTCATCTATTCTCCCCGATCTAATGGCGGCCGCGTTATTCCGCATACAGAACAGGAAATTCAATCTGATTATTTCATGAAGTCCATAACGTGATATGTTGTCAGCGATCGCCTAGAGTAGAATCCATATATGGTTCAAAAATAAACTTAATGATGTTCTCAAGGTCGCCTACTAAAGTAATTCTAAATTTTTGATGACATTTTAAAGGGTGTCCATTTACTAATAACACTGGATGATCGGGTTATAAAGTTATATGACACTGTCAATGATGCGCTTTAAAAGTAAAATTAATTATAGATTGATAGATGACGCTTTCAAGGCTAATTATTCTGTTTATAAAGTAAAACGAATTCTAGATTTTTTTCATGATACTTTCATGGCTGCTCTTTAAAAAAATAAAACTGAATATTCGGTTTATAAAGTAAAACGAATACTAGATTTTTGCATGATACTTTCATGGCTGCCCTTTTAAAAATAAAACTGAATATTCGGTTTATAAAGTAAAACGCATTCTATATTTCAAGGCTGCCTTGTTCAAAATAAAACTGAATATGCTGTGTATAAAGTTCAATGAATTCTAGATTTTTGATTATTTTTTTTTTTATCTATTTAGTTTAACTTGTAGCCCTTTACTTATTTACTTCATAGTTCTAGTTTCACTGTTCAATTCAACTTAATTCATGTTATATAAAGTGCATGTGTGATTTGTTTTTTTTTTTACTACTTTCATTTTATCATCTCTATTTTTAGAATGACATCATGTGATAGCCTACCTGCCTTGTTGTGCGTGCGCAGATTCATTATTATCATTCAATAAAACACTACCTCACAATACAGATGCTATTTATTGTTCCATTTTATTCCTGTCCATGAGAATTCAAAATAAAATAATTAAAAATAAAATATTCATGTGTTTTTTATTTTAAATTCTTTCCTTTAATTAACATGTGCGTCGTGCCTAGGGCGGTGGGATGAGATGAAACCCTTATACGAAACCAATTACTGCTTATTATGGACTAGACATGCTCCGATGCGGGTTCTATAATATTGGTGCAATTGATCAAAAGTAATGATGCGTGTTTTGCATTTTAATAAAAAAAAAAAGAAGAAAAAAGAAACTAGCCCCCGCTGTCATTTGTCACAGACCTGGGATGATGCGTGTTTAAAGGACAATAATGCTGTCAGTTATTATCACATATTATGTTATGGAACTGGTTAAACATGTTCCAAATATTATTTTAACACAGAGATCATTGCTACGATAGATGCGTAATGAAGATTTCAAGAAACGGAGGTGACCAAAGCAAAAAGGAAAACACGAGACATCCTTCTATATAATTGACTGAAGTGACGAGTGATAACTGAAATACGGGAGAATTTTTGACACCAATATTGTCTTTTTATAAAATTGGTGCAAATGATTTATTTATGTTCCATCTTGGTGGGTTGGTGCTTATCGGCATTAGTGGCTCAGTGAATGAGGCGCTGGTTTGTTAGTCTGCAGGTCTGGAGTTAGCTCCCGGTGTTGACAGGGAAATTTACTCGGGAATTTGTGGCTGGTTGACACTTGTCAGTGGTGCAGGACGAAGGACGGTGGTCTATTCGTGAACATAAAAGAACGTTTGACAGTTGGAATTCGATATAAGAGTAGGCCATAGCGCCGCTGTCCGGATAAATTTTCCCTCATAGCACATTGTATGGAATATCCCCATCTTCAGTAGCAAAATAAAATGGGGTTTAACGTTCTACTGTTCTGCTCCAACTGGGCTAATGAAGACTGGCATGCGCCATACAGTGTGCTATGAGGGATATTTTGCCCAGGCAGCGGCACTATGGCCTATTCTTATATCGAATTCCAACTGCCAAGGGAATGTATACACGGGTCCTCGATTTTTCGTCCCATCCTAACGACTAGACAGCTGTCCTTGGCAGGCCTTATCTTCATTAGCCCTGTCGTTAACGAACAGTAGGACGTTAAACCCGATTTCATTTCATTTAATATTGATACACTAGGAAATGTTTGGATGAGGAAATGGTCGCCGCCTAGCGCTACTCATTGTCTAGTTCTTTGGGACGACTGTCTTCGAAAAAAAAAAAGCTGAAGCCTCCGTCAACTGAAGTACGATCGACATGAAACTCGGCAGACTTGTTCCTTGGACAGTTGCACATCGATTAACGAACTTGGAGATTTTCCAAGATGGCTACGATGACGTCATGCTCAGTGAGTAAAGGCGCTGGCTCACTAACCAGAACGGTTTAATATTGGTCCATTTCTATCAATAATGACCATGTTATTATTTTACCGTGAATATACGACCTCCCGATATCCAATATTTAAGACACATAGAACATTCTAAAATCAGTTTTAAAATCGTCCCCAGGCACGTAACTGGGGGAGGGGGGGGGTAGGTGCATAAAAAAATAGATATACAATGTCCGTCAATTTTACAGAACCCCTGAGAACACTTTCCGCCCCTCGTTGCTCGTTCCCGCCCCCTCGTTGCTCTGAGCTACTTACGGCCCTGATCGTCCCACCTGAACAATTATACCCCTCAATTTCCGCGGTCCCAAAGATAAATTCAGATTGATTGATTTGAGTCAGAACTTAGATTTGGGAGATTAAATTAAATTGCTGCGATAGTCTGGCCCGGAGTTCACAAAATATTCACAGACTTACTCTGAATTGTTCGTTTTATTTTAACTAAAATATAACTCTTTATAAAACTTTTGTTATTTTAATGTATCAATTACATCAATAAGAAACTATGTGCAAAGTTTTGTGTTTCTGGAACAAAGATATTTCTCATAAACAGTGATTAAAAGTTGAGTAAATTCTTAATCTAAGTCTGTTTTTACTTTGTAAACTCGGGGCCTGTTAATTACAAACAACAAATCATCATAAAAAATGTTAATACACATGAAATGAAATGGGGTTTAACGTAACAATTTGCTGCAACAACTGGGCTAATGAAATGAAATGAAATGAAATGAAAAGGGGTTTAACGTCCTACTGTTCTGCTACTATACTGGGCTAATGAAGAATGGCATACGCCCTAGAGTGTGCTATGAGGGAAATTTTGCCCGGGCAGCGGCACTATCGCCTACGCTTATATCGAATTCCAACTGCCAAGGGATCTTTTACGTGCATTCCAATGTATACACGGGACCTCGGTTTTTTGTCTCATCCGAAGGACTTGACAGCTGTCCTTGTCAGGCCCTCCGTTCTGCACCAACTGGGATAACGAAGATGGGCATACGCCATACAGTGTGCTGTAGGGGCAACTATGCCCAGGTAGCTACGTTACGGTCTACTCTTATTTCGAATTCCAACTGTCAAGGGTTCTTTTACGTGCAAGAAAACGTGTACAAGGAACCTCGGTTTATGTCCCATCCGAACGAACAAAAGGAACCCAGGCTGGGCAAGTTTCTCGGCTAACACCTGGATCGAACCCTGCATCGCTGAGCCACCGTGGTTACCGTGTCGCAATAAATCGACAATAATGGAATATACATTTCGAATAAACCGTACTCTTAATTCGAAAAATATTAAAATATAATTTTATATTTGTGTTAAAGGAATATAGATGAAAATAATTCCAATATTATTTAAAGGGACATTTTGGGAGATTAGATAAAAAGTTGACGGTTCTCGCTATAATGGTTAAAAAATAGACAACGTAAACAGAATATGCTTAAAATTACATTCAAATTGCTCCCCTCTGAACCGAGATATTAGCTTTTGAATTTTAGGCTAGCCTCAATCATCATTACTAAAGTCGGTACGATAGAAAACAAAGTCTCGATTATCCATTTTTACGTTGAATTATTTTTCCCAAAATGTATTCTAATCCGCTAAATATCGCAGACTAGCGATGGCATTTAGAGTTGATTACGATCTGGATAAGTTAATTAATGTCTAATTAATAATTTAGATAACATTTCAGGCCTAAAGAAAGACCTGCGATAGGCAGATTTAGCTCTTGCAGAATGTATGTTTAAATATTTCCGCTGAAAAATAACTTGGTAACGTTACAATACATTTCAATGTCGAGAAAAAAAAGAATGCCATTTGGTATTTCGAGTTCCATTGTAGCACGGACACGTAAGTTGGGTTGGAATCGATAGCAATAGTTCGGGGTAAACAATACCTTGAGGCCCGAGGCATTGGTCAGCTCGTGTAACCACCACTAGCTAGTCACGGCTATATACCATAGCTAACCCCAAGTCGCTTTCGTTCACGATGATCAATATCACGCCAGTTACAGAAGCACATGTAAATATTACGAAGTGTTCTCGATTCTTTCTGGCCACTGGACACACAGAATCAATACTCGCTGACCGGTATTACCGCAATACATGTAAACATTACCAACAGAGTCCGCCATTCTCTGATCAACGGTCAAGGTTACTTTATGCGCGTAACAACTCGCAACCCTTTCATCTCCTAACACCCGAGTATTTCACGATAATGCCGGGTATGACCATCGCTTATCCGGCCATATTTCTTTTTTTGCCATTCTGTGTGTTCAAACTGGACAACTCACCATCGGTCAATATTGAAATCCGGCCACAAGAAAGAGAAAGGTTGAATCTAAACAAATAAAAACTTTGGTAAGAAAGAATGAAGTAAACAAAGTCCGAGGTGTTATCGATACTGGAATAAGTGAAATGAATCTTCGTCCAGTTTTTGATCAATATTTTGTTGTTTTTTCCTCTGATAGTCAACACGACTTTGGCACGTGCTGTAAGACATATTGTTTGTATGTATATATTTAAGATGACCAGAGATTTAAGCTGTTTATCGTTGTCAATGATATTTATGTATATTTATATATATTTATATTTTTATCTGTCTATGCGTGTATTACCACGATATTGATTTTTCTTAATATACGTACGTGATAAAATATTTATATTCTTTTTATAAGCTGGTTACTTTGATTGTATTCGTTTATCATCGGGGAACCGCTGTGACTCAATGAGTGGGGGAAAGAGAGATAGAGAAAGAGAAGAAAGAGAGAGAGAGAGAGAGAGATGTCGTGTAAAGCCCACTCGACACAAACTAGTTCATTTCGGGACTAACACATGGTTCAATTTTATTTCAATAATTCGCTTGTGCGTAGGGATCTTTATCAGTGGAAGGAATCGGAGAAACCCCACGAGGTTGGACAGGCGATCATACTCCTTGTCACGTACAACCGGGGAATCAAAACCACGGTAGTTACAGACCTTATGATACAGCGCGCTCGTGCTACCCATTCGACCATCCCCCCAGCATCCAACAAATTTTCCTTACTGAACCAATAAAACAAATGAGCTTAATACAGATGGCACCGATGACTAATTTCATTCATTTTAAATTTCATTAATTATTCACTATGTACTTATACAGAAAGTAGAACATAACAGTGGCGAAGGCCGAATATTTCATTAAAGGGTGTCCGAGAAGAAGGGGGAGGGGCTCTGGGATAGATGTACTCGTAGAGAAAGTAGACCATATAGAAATAACAGTGGCGGATGTTGGCCGCGAAAATTCCTAGAGGTTTTCCGATGTGGTTCTCCTTTGTCAGTGATGCAGGACTGAGGGTGTGGCAAGGACAGTGGCTAGTCGTTCGGATGGGACAACAAACCGAGGTCTCGTATACACGTTGGTGTACACGTAAAATAACTCGTGACAGTTGGAATTCAATTTCTCTCATTGAACACAATATGGCGTATGCCCGTCTCCATTAGTAGTTGCAGGAATGTAGGATGTGAACCCCATTTCTCCGGTCAAAGGTCAAAACCTAGTAACTCACTTTTTTTTAATCAAAATTTCAATCTGATTAAAATACAGATCTATGTTTTGTTTCGTTTTTTTATACTTTCGATGACCTATACT